TGTGTGTGTGTGTGTGTGTGTGTGTGTGTGTGAAATGCAGTGCCCTGCAGAAAGGCTCTGAAAACTCTGTCCCCAGACTATATTTCTACCAGGCAATTCTGGACTAGATTGAGCTGCGTTAAGAAAACCCGTGTTTGTCTTTTAGCAGCCCACAGCCTGTGGTAGGGAAGACGACTATTCTTGTGCAGCTGTCTTCATGGAAGGCCAGGTTGGAAGGCGTCTTAGGTGCACACCATGCCCAGCCTGATGAAGTAAACTTGATATATATGATCTGATCCTCAGAGCAACTCTGAAACTCCTGAGCCACCTCACATCATCACCCCAGGAGAGGAAGAAGGGTCTAGTGCCGCAGTTTAGTGTTGTGATTTGGGCATGGAGTGTGTCCCTCTAAGTTTGATATGGTAGGTTCTTAGTCCCCAGATGTTCAGAGAATCTTTAAGAGACTGGGCATAGGGCCCAGTCAGAGCCTTAGCCTTAGTCAGAGTAAAGGCCTTGATGCCAACTTTATAACTAAGTTCAGTCTCTGGAATCCACATGGTGGAAGGAGAGAACTGACTCCCACAGGTTGTCCTAACCCAGACACATGGTGTGATGCTGAAGGTTTTTTTGTTTGTTTGTTTTGCTTTTGGTTTTGGTTTTTTGAAGGCCATAAGCCAGAGAGGTTACTCAGTGGTTATGGGCGTACTCTGCTCTTTCAGAGGACCAAGTTCAGTTCCCAGCACCCACATCAAGCAACTCACACCCCCCTGTAACTACAGCTACACGGAATCCAACTCCCCATCCACAGAGACATTTACACACAGTTTTTAGAAGAAAATAAACCTTAAAAGAGATCGAAATTGGGCGGGAGAGATGGCTCAGAGGTTAAGAGGCTTCTCTTCCTGAGGTCCTGAGTTCAATTGCTATCAACTACATGGTGGTTCATAACCATGGGATCTGGTGCCCTCCTCTGGCCTGTAGACATACATGCAAACAGAATGCTGTATACATAATAAATAAATCTTAAAAAGAAAAAACAAGAGGTGAAAACTGGGTGGTGGTGGTACATGCCTTTAATCCCAGCACTTGAGAGGCAGAGGCAGGTAGATCCCTGTGAGTTTGAGACCAGCCTGAACTACAAAGCCAGTGCTAGGACAGCTAGGGCCACACACAGAAACCCTGTCTCTTAAACCAAAGTGGGGGGAGGGGGAGAGGGAGAGGAGGCCTGATGGGAGGCCCTTGAGTCAGTCACTGGGATGTGCCCTGGAAAGGGAATGGCAAAGTGTGGCTTCTGGCATCCTACTTTAAGATATGATCTTTATTCCTAAACATGCTCCTGTCACTGTTGCTGGCCATGAAGTGATGCAACTAACAGGGAGGGGAAGAACTTACAAGGATGTGAGTGCCATTTGGAACTCCTGTCAGGCCCATATGAGCTACATAAGAACAGAAGAGCTTCATACATGGTTAGTGGTGTGGCTGCAAAGGTGCTGTGGTTGTTTTGTATGAGATCTTAGAACCTATTGTAGACTGTCTGATCTGAAAGTGAGGGTGATTCCCCTACCTGCTGCCTTACCACAGGCAGGGGAAAAACAGAGTGAGGTAAGAAGGCTCAGCTTGATTCAGGACTTCTAGAGTCTGGTCCAGATTGTTTTATTTTAACCATATTTAAGCACAGCACAAGATTAGCCTGGCCCTAAGATAACATGGAAATCACTTAGGCTGTTGTAAAGCACAAGTGACAACACTCCTAAGAATGAGTTTTATGGTCTAAAAGCAATACTCACGATTTAGAGGAAGGGGTCTGGGATAGGTAAAAACATAAATACTGGGAGATACGGGCAGAGCCCTTCTCATCAGACAGCAAAGGATCACCAGGTTGTAAGCCTGCAGCATTCCTGAGTAGCTACACACCTCACTCAGTTGAAGAGGTAAGCTGTGTGTTTAACTTCCCTGGCTTTTCCCGTGCTTGTCTATGCACAAGCCAATGCTCACCCCTCCCCACTCCCTGACCCCCCCCTCCAGAAATCATATTTACACTGTTAACTTTCAAATCCCCACATTCTCAAGGAACCCTTTTCTGTGGAGGGCGCCTGTTCTTGGGGAAGAACAAGCATGATAATCAGTGCTAAGGATGCTGGCAGTACCTTCACATTCAGCTTCTCGGGTGTCCTGAAAACACTGTGCCAGATGTGCAGGAGCCTTGGGGCCAGCAGCTGTACTGAGTGCCCCCTTCTGGCAGACACTATCTCAGATTACAATGTCATTCCACCACGCAAGAAACAGGGAGCTTATGTCACAGCAGACTGCCTGTGGAGCTAAGGTGCAGTGGGACAGGAGCCCTGTGCACAGGCTGCTGTGTCAGCAGTGCCAGCTGGCCTTAATAGTCAACTTTTAGACCAGCGAAATGGCTCAGTGAGTAAAGACCCTGTCATGCAAACCTGGCAACCTAAGTTTGATTCTTGAAACACTTAAAACTGACAGAAGGGATACCCACAGAGTTGCCCTGTGATCTCCACACACACACCAAACACATAACATACACATACGTGGACACAAACATTAGAAAAGTTCACTTCATTCCTATACTTTTGGCTAAGGCAAAGCTGTGTTTTGGCTAAGGCAAAGCTGTGAGGAACAAAACCTTTAAATTATGTAAATTAAATTCCCATAGAAAAACCTTGTTTGGTGGAATACTGTACCACAGGACCAAGTTTCCTCTCAGAAAATTCAGTGAACAGATTTCTATTCCATTTTTAAATGATTTATTTGCCAGTCTGGTAGTACATACCTTTAATTCCAGCACTTGGGATACTGAGGTAGGTGGATCTCAGTTTAAGGCCAATCCTGGGCTACAGAGTGAGTTCAAGGATAGCCAGGGCTACACAGAGAAACCTTGGGGGAAACGATTTTTATCTCATGTTCATTGGTGTTTTGCCTACATGTATGTCTGTGTGAGGGTGTCAGATCCCCTGGAACTGGAGTTAAGGACAGCTGTGAGCTGCCATGTGGGTGCTGAGAATTGAACCCAGGTCTCCTAGACATTAAGAGCAGCCAGTGCTCTTAACTTCTGAGCCATCACTCCAGCCCTCTACTCCGTTTCTTTCCTTCCGTTGTTTTCAAGGCTGGATGTAGCAGGAAACCTAATAGAATCAATGGATTTAGGGTAAACATTACAATGAAATAGTTGGTTTTCACTGTATCAAAGGGAGACACCAGAATGAATAGTTGTTTTCTAGAAGTACTCTGATCTTGAAGAAATCATTATAGGAAAACATGATTGTTTTGTTTGTTATCTATAGAGTTGTTTTTCTGAAGGAACTTAAAGCCTTTGCACAACATTGGTCACAAATTGTCCCCGTACACCTGACATGTCTTGCATTATTGAGCGCTGCAAACTGTGCACAGAGAGGACTAATGTTTCAGGAGAGTGAGGTTTTCCTTCGGGAAACTTACAGATTAGATTAGGGGCTTTGGGATGAGAAAATTGTTTTACTCAAAAAAACTTTTGTGTTACAATCAATAAATAGGCTTTTGACGGCTCTTTGGCAATCAAATCAGTCCACAGAAGCTGGATCTCCCTGCTGCCAGCAAGGCTGTAATTCATCTTTTTTTGATTGATTAGCTAGAGGCTGTTGCCATAGATCTCCAGGTCACCCAGTGATCACAGATGCACAGATGCAGGAATCACCTGTGAAGCGTCTCTGATGCTGGTCACCTTAAAGCAGAATGAGGAACAGATCTCTATTAAAGGACAAGATTGTCCTCTCCAAAAGAAAATGGGGGGCTGGAGAGATGGCTCAGCGGTTATGAACACTGACTGCTCTTCCGGAGTTCCTGAGTTCAATTCCAAGCAACCACATGGTGGCTCACAACCATCTGTAATGAGATCTGATGCCCTCTTCTGGTGTGTCTGAAGACAGCTACAGTGTACTCATATAAATAAATAAATCTTTATTTAGCCGGGTGGTGGTGGTGCACGCCTTTAATCCCAGCACTTGGGAAGCAGAGGCAGGTGGATTTCTGAGTTCGAGAGTTCGAGGCTAGCCTGGTCTACAGAGTGAGTTCCAGGACAGCCAGAACTACACAGAGAAACTCTGTCTCGAAAAACGAAAAAAAAAAAAGAAAGAAAGAAAGAAAGAAAGAAAGAAAGAAAGAAAGAAAGAAAAAGAAAACAGGCCAGAGGCTGGCAGGATTTTCAGAAGTGACCATTTTGGGGCTCTAAAAAGACGGAACATGTGACAATGAGGAGCACGAGCGGTTGGATGCTGGACTCACCATAGCAGGTGCAGAGACGATGGAGGAGGAAGAGGAACCAGCTGAGGCAGTTTGAAAAGAAAGTGGAAGGGATGATGAAAGGGGGTGCCCCTGCTCCTAGGGAGGCTGAAGGAGAGACAAGCCCACTGACAGGCGGTAGAGGAGGAGGGTCCTCACGGTTGGTTGGGAGGGCGGACTCAATGCGGTCTCCATACTACAAATGCCTCATGTGTGGTCTTCCATCTCTGGTGTCGAATGGCACTGATCACAGCGGGGCCTCGGGCTGAGCATGGCAGTGCTTGGGTACAGATGGGGACCGTGAGATTTCAGGCTCAGCTCTAGACTCCAGGGATTGAGGGCTGCCTCCTTTTACTCCTTAGGCTGAGTAGTATGTGTAAGCCTCAGTGGTTCTAATTTACCCTCACCTAGACTCACTGACCACTGACTGGGACTCCATAATAAGAAGCTGTATTCAGGAACACACAGATACCCAGGGCTTTCTATGGGATTGTGACACACGTACAATGTACATACACTTTATAGACATACACATATGTGTCTGCAAGAAAATTCAGCATGGCACTGCCCACTTCAGAAAAACTTTTTCTTGCACTGGTTCTAAAATTCACTTTGCTATATGTTGAATAGACATTCTGAGTTTTTAATTACATTATTTACTATTTATTTGGACAGTGAAGGTTATGAAGGTTATAAAGCCATAGGCCAGGTCCTAAAAGGTATGTTGTCAGGGGCTAGGCTCTGCCTTGCAGCAGCACAGGGGGACACACCCATAGAGATAAGAGAGCAACTTGCAGGAATTTGTTGTCTCCAAACGTGTGGGGTCAGGGAATTTAATCTAGGTCATCCAGTTTGCCAGTAAGTGCCATTACCTCCTGAGCTATCTTGCCTACCCTAGACATTTTTTTTTTAAATAAAGAAAAAACACCAGTAAGGAAGGAAGAAAGAAAGAAAGAAAGAAAGAAAGAAAGAAAGAAAGAAAGAAAGAAAGAAAGAGAGAAAGAAAGAAACTAAAGTCCAAGAAACAAATTAACATGCCCTAAGCCCCAGACCACCCAGAAAAAGGAGACTTTAAACCTAACTGAAGGTTATGAAGGTTTTGAAGGTTAAGACAGTTATGAAGGTTATAAAGCCATAGGCCAGGTCCTGAAAGGCACGATGCCAGGGGGTAGGCTCTGCCTTGGAGCAGCACAGGTGGACTCACCCAGCACTTCTTCCTCAGTTCATTTAGGAGCAAACTCAACCACTAAAGTCAACACAGGAGAGCAATCCACAGGTTCACCACTCAGAAGTACTGTGACCCAGGACTAAAGGAAGAGGAATCGTCACAGCCATGAGAAAAGTGGCCCTGGGGTCTTCAAAGGCAGCTCACCTAGGCCTCAGAAGCAGCCTCCTAGCAGGCACACTTCAGAGCTGGGTGACAAAATGCTTGCTTGCTTATAAAAGGGCCGCACCATGCCCTGTTCCTTAGGAGGGAAGACAGGGACGCAGCAAGGTAGAAGGACCAGAGTCCCAGTGAAGCCATGCTTGCTGCCTCTGTCTTGCGTCTGACACTGCTGCTCTGCTGGCTAGTTGCACCCCAGCCCACCCAGCCTGAGAGGCTCTTCCACAGCCGGGACCGTTCGGACCTGGAGCCATCTCCCCTGAGTCGGGCCAAGCCCATTGCTGACCTTCATGCTGCTCAGGTAAGAGATGATGCACAGAGCACCAGCATTTGCATACACATGCAGTATACATCACACGTGCGCACACATACACACATGTAGAGGCCAGAGCATAACATGGAAGGATAATGGTGCGGAGGCAGAGAACCTGCTTAACCTGGCACCATCTTTGTGGAGCTGGGAATGAAACCTGGAGCCTTCCGCACGCTAGGCAACCACCTCTACCACTGAGTTCCACCTAGTTCCATCTGATGTTAACTCTAGAAGCAGTGGTGTCTAGGCAGGGGTCAAGCCTGCAGAGAGTAGCTTTAAATGTCAGCTGACATTTGAAGGTGAGCATGTGGTGCTGTCAGAATCTAAGGCACTGTGCTGGTGGCATCCCTCAGTTGGCCTCCTGCCAGCCTGGGTATACAGAAAAAGGACAGTCCCAGCAAGAATCCCCACAAAGTGCTATTGAGTGCCATCCACTGCCACAACCGGACTAGGGCTCCCTTTCTCCAGTCATGGCTCTGAAGTCTAGTACTTACCTCCATCAGACAGATGATATAGATTTCCCCTAAACTTCTGGCTCCAGGGTGCCCCTAGTGTGGAGGGCAATGAGAAGCAATGATAGGCAAACCTTGCCTCGGATGCCAAGGGCACCCCTCCAGCCCCCGTCTTTCCTGCCCCTGCATGCTGGAAACCCACCAGCCCACACAGTGTGTATCCACCTCCAGCCTTGACCTCTGGGGTGGCTTCTTCCCTCCCAGTCCAACCACCTGGCTGGCTTCAATTCTGCCCCTCCACAGGCCATGTGGCACCCATGACTTCACTCTGGTAGACCCTGGATAAAATCTTTTTATGTCTATCTTCTCTCTGTGTATCTCCTGCCTCTCTCCAGCTACCACAGCACAAGAAAGTCCCAGCAGGAGGCAACTTTATGAATTTAGGGCTTCTCTTTCCCACAGAATTTCCTATTGAAATATGGTTGGTCAGAGGTGCCTAGCCCAAAGGAGTCAGCAGGAGTCCCCGTGGGCTTCACCTTGGCTCAAGCTGTGCGTAGATTCCAGAAGGCAAACAGACTGCCAACCAGCGGGGAACTAGACTCACCTACACTGGCAGTTATGAACAAGCCGCGCTGTGGCGTCCCTGACACACAGCTGCCCTCTCAGGCTGCCCTGCCAACCCCACCAGCCCTGCCAATCCCTCTAGGTCTCCAGCCAAGGGCTCGACAAAAGCGCTTTCTTCAAATGTTGCTGCCCAAGCCAGGTGGGCAAGAGGAGGACGCCTCAGACACTGGGGCCAGCAGGGCCTTCTCCAAGAAGACACTGACCTGGAGGCTAGTGGGAGATGCCTACAGCAGCCAACTCTCTGGGGATGAGCAGAGATACATCTTTAGACTGGCCTTCAGGATGTGGAGTGAGGTGACACCACTGAACTTCCGGGAGGACCTCACTGCCCCTGACACCATGGTGGACATAAAGCTGGGTTTTGGGAGAGGTAAGAGTGGTGCAGCCTGGGGATCCCTTCCTGCCTGCTCTGCAGACACCCTCTGATTCTTCCACCAAGGCCCTATGCCCAGTACCATGCTTAGGCCAACCCGGGCCAATCACAGCTTGATTGCCTTGTTACCCAGAGTAATGTGGTTCCAACTCCTACCTGTTGGGGTTCTCTAGAGAGGACACCTAAGAGGGTAAGGAGGTTCTACTCTCCGTGGATATTTTAAGGTCTTAGCTGTTGGGGTTTACATGCCTGGAGCACAACACCCACCCTCCTGGTCACACAGAGACACAGCAGGTACAGTGTACTGACCTGTGAGAAGACTTACACAGAAAGCCACCACAGCCTCCTTGTTGGCAGACTGGACAAATAACCTGTCTTCCACAGCTCATCTGTGACTAGAGGTGTTCCCATCCACCTTGCTGTTCTCACTGGGTTAATTTCCTAATTCTAGGGTACATAAGACATGGTTTGTTATAAAAGTAGCAAGGGGACCCAGCTCCAATGCTATTCCCTTCATCAGTACTGGCAAAACACACACACACACACACACACACACACACACACACACACACACAGAGAGAGAGAGAGAGAGAGAGAGAGAGAGAGAGAGAGAGAGAGAGACAGACAGACAGACAGACAGACAGACACAGACACAGACACAGAAAAAGCCCAGTTAGCATCTAGACGTTCCTAGTCTTTTTGGTTTTGTTTTGCTTTTTTTTGTAGTTTTTTTTTTTTTCAAGATGACGGCTTTCCTGTGTAGCTCTGGGTATCCTGGAACTCTCTTTGTAGACCAGGTTGGCCCAGAACTGACATCTGCTAGCCTCTGCTTCCTGAGTGCTAGAATTAAAGACATTCGCCAGCAGGCCCTGCTCGTTTCTAGTCTTTATAACCTCATAGTTGGCAGACACCAGGCAGCTCAGTCTGTGTCCACAGAGGACACCGATAGCTGTAGCAGATCCCAGGAAGCTCTGGTGCTGTCAAAGTCTGTGCTGTTAAGAGAGGGACTCAAGATAGGCACCTTCATTCACTGCTACCCACCCCTCTCCCCACATCAGGCCGGCACCTGGGCTGTCCACGGGTATTTGACGGGAGCGGACAGGAGTTTGCACATGCCTGGCGCCTGGGTGAGGTCCACTTTGATGACGATGAGCACTTCACTCCTCTCTCCAGTGACACAGGCATCAGCCTTCTCAAAGTAAGAGGCTCCAGCTGCTCTGCTGGGAAGCAAAGCACACTAGCCTAAGTTCAGAAACACAGCTTTTCCTTGTGTGTATAGCCTTCTAGACATAGAACGTTCAGCAAATCTCTGGTGGTGATTCCCCAGTAGTCACCTTTTCTCTCCCAAACAAGCACAGCTCTGCTCTGGGGATAGGACAGGCCTCTTTAATTCAGTGATTGGTTCCAGCAACATCAAAGACACACGTTTGGTCCTACACCCGTGGTTTGTGTTCCCCTCCTAGGTAGCTGTCCACGAAATTGGCCACGTTCTTGGATTGCCTCACACCTACAGGGTGGGATCCATAATGCAACCAAACTACATTCCACAGGAGCCTGCCTTTGAGTTGGACTGGTCAGACAGAAAAGCAATTCAAAGACTATATGGTAAGATGGGTCTAGGGCAGACCCTGCCTGGAGGGTACTGAGGAGGTTAAAGCCAGCAGGCTCTGCTCTATGCTCGTTAGGAGGCTGATCTCCAAATTGGTTGCATGGCTAAAGACCTGCCTTCAAACTTGTCTGCAGCCTTTTAAAATGATCACACTAGACCACACAGGGCCACAGGCGAAGGAAGAGCAACAATCCTTCTGTGTCTTCTCTTCCCCTCCTTCCACACTGGTGAGGACAGAGGACATCATGGCTTTTAGATACCCAGTTGTTATGCCAGGCACTGCCGGCTATTTAATACAAATGGGACAGAGAGATGGCTTGGCAGTTAAGAGCACCTTCCAGAGGTTGAATTTCCAGCACCCACATCTAGCGGCTCATAATCACCTGTTGTGGGGAAAATTTAGAGGCCGCCACAGCGGCGGGGCCCCGGAGGAACTTCCACGCTGTGGCGGGTCCCACATTCGGGAGGAACCCTATAGTTCCAGCAGCCTGGAGGCCTTGGCGGCGGCAGGCAGGCCCCAATAACAGGAGGAAGTCCTTGGTTCCAAAAAGGCTTATTGTCACGGCTGATGATTGATGGATCTAGGTGTACCCCCGAAAACTCAGGGCAATCCCGAGTTATATAGGGAGGGAGAAAGGGGGAGGATCGGGGGAGGATCTGGGGGAGGCATGTTTAATTTGCTCTGCCCTCTGGCCTTCATTAGTGTGTAAATCCCTAGGGCCTGAGGCCTATAGCCTGGCCTATGTGACTGAACAATGTAATTCTATGGAGACCGTGACTGCTTTTCAGGATCCTGGATTCTGGGGGGCGCCAAACTCCTGCTGGTTCTCACGCAGAATCCCACGCAGAGTCTGCAGAGTCTTGGGGTTCTAGGCACCTGCTCAACCATGACCCAGGATACCCTTACACAGTCCCACAACCTGTAATTCCAGATCCAGGGGATCCAATACCTCTGGCCCCTGTGGGCACACACACACACGAATATAATTAAAAGTCCAGTCTTTAAAAAAGAAAGAAAAGGGTTGGTTATAGCACAGATACCAGGCAGGGGAAGAGAGTGCTTCCATTCCTAGACCCTCATGTCCCACCTCAGTTCTGCTCCCACTCCTGACTTCCAAAGCCTGTTTCAGCCACATTGTCATCCTCCAGTAGAAACATGGCAGTTTGTGTGTGCCCAGAACCAAACATCTTTCCTCTCATGAAACCAGATAGCTTTAAGGCATTCCAACAGGAAGTGCTAGCCACGTAGTATCTCCATTCCGGACAATTATGAATGCTGATGCTTACAGTCACAAGTGGCTGCGTTTTTTTCTCTATCAGGTTCCTGTGAGGGATCGTTTGATACAGTGTTTGACTGGATTCGCAAGGAGAGGAACCAATATGGTGAGGTGAGGGTGAGGTTCAACACCTACTTCTTCCGCAACAGCTGGTACTGGCTCTACGAAAACCGCAACAACAGGACTCGCTATGGGGACCCCCTCCAAATCCTCACTGGCTGGCGTGGAATTCCCATGCAAAGCATAGATGCCTTCGTCCACGTCTGGTCATGGGGAAAAGATGAGCGGTATTTTTTTAAAGGTAACAATGCTTCTAGACGTGGCTCCATTTCTTTTACTGAACTTGTACTTAGGATATTTCCAGCACTTACCAAGGAATCCATGGTAATGTACTGGTAACCACTGCTTTTCCGTTTGATTAGGCAGACTGCACGCTCAGGGTGGGCTGTGTCCTCTGATCTTAGGGAGACTTGGTAGTCACCAAATGAATAAACTTTGGTCTCTACCATGGAAAGGAATGGTCTGTAGACTAAGTAAGACTCAAGATACTCACTCCATGGTGTTCATGGCTTTCACTGTGAGAGGCAACTAGCATTCCAAACACAGCAGTGATGGGCCGGGCAAACATTACTGGGGTCAAACTGAGAAGTCACAGGAGGCCTGAGCAGATAGCTGAGTGAAAAAGTCCTGTTTCTCTGGAATCACGGGAGAGGACCATGCAGGGCTGACTTAGGATCTGCTGGCAGCTGCCCTTTGGAGTGACACTAAGCAAAGGGGCATGCCAGGCTCTCAATAGGATGGTGGGTGAAGTCTCACTTCGGTGGAGTTTAGGAATGCTGGGCTGCATCGCTGGCCCATGCCATATTTCTTATAGTCTGGGATTAATAAACCACATTGACAATTTTGGTTTGGCTCTCAGGAAACCAATACTGGAGATACGACAGTGAGAATGACCAGGCACACACACAAGATGAACAAGGAAGGAGCTACCCTAAACTGATTTCAGAAGGCTTCCCTGGCATCCCCAGCTCCCTGGACACTGCCTTTTATGATCGGAGGCAGCAGTTAATTTACTTCTTCAAGGAGTCTCTAGTAAGTATCACTGCATCCAACTTCTTAAAAGATCACTTCAGATCTACGACACAATGGCAGATCATCAGATGGAAACATTTAGAACATCTACAGAATTCAGTGCAAAGTCAGATTAACAGTCAGCAATCATCAGCAGCCTGTCTCTCTTGCTTTATCTGCAGGTATTTGCATTTGATGTCAATCAAAACCAAGTCCTTAATTCTTATCCAAAGAAGATGAGCCAAGTGTTTCCAGCAATAATGCCTCAAAACCATCCATACAGAAACCTTGATTCAGCGTACTTCTCCTATGCACACAACTCCATTTTCTTTTTCAAAGGCAACTCATACTGGAAAGTAGTTAGTGACAAGGACAAACAACAGAATTCTCGGCTTCCTCTGAATGGCTTATTTCCAAAAAAATCGATTTCAGAGAAGTGGTTTGATGTTTGTGATGTTCACACCTCTACACTGAACATGTAAAGGGAAGACGAAAATCAAGACTAGGACTCAGAAACAGCTTTAAGAGAAAGCGTCAGCTTTCTTTGCAAAGAAAACAAACCAGATTCTTAGTAGCTAAAGCAAATATGGCTTCCTAAACTAAACCAAACAAGAAGGCATTACTTGAGGATCAGTTGCTAGGTAAAACTTCTTTTAGAAACATCAAAAAATTTACCCTATGGAATCCCCGTCCTTTCTTTCGATGCCCCACATGAACTCCATTCAGTCCCAATAGTGCCACCAGGGTCCCACCATTGTGTACAGAAATGGCTTTTACAGCACTTAGAAACTGAGTTCTGGTCTGGGTTAGGGCACAGGAATGAAATTAACTGCAAAACACACATCATAATGACATGTTTACCATTTGACTGTGGGGTGGTTCTGATGCTGTCCCATTCCCAATTGGGTTCTTGATCTGTCAGTAAAGAAGCCATGGGCCAATTTCTGGGTGGAAGGAATAGGTGAGACTTCTGGGTCCCTAGAGAAAAAGAGATGGATGCAAGGGAGGAGTTTGGCAGGCTTCTCATGGAGAAAAGTTGAGCAGATGTGTGAGGTCTTAGACAGGGAGGTGGCCTGTGGCCACTCCTACAGGTGGGAGGTACATAGATAAGAATGCTTTTCCAGGTGGGATAGCAGTGCCCAGCAATTTTGTCAAAAGTTGAAAAGGAACAACTATGTGTCTTTTATCCATGGATTCTAGGGAAGCTGGGTGGGGCTGGTAGCACAGGCTGTTCATGGAGCTTAGGTGGGGTAGCGAGAGCTACATGCAACATTTGCCAAAGGTCCCCAAAGTATCTGTTTGGGTGACACAGGTATTCCCAGCATCCACATTACTTCTGCAGCCTGTGGCGATTGCCTCCTGCTGCTGAATGCACCTTCTGTGCATAGGGCCACCCACTAACTGGCTCTGCAGATCATAGCCTTTCTGGTTCACTGTAATTTGTGTTCTGTCCTTGCAGAGCAGTGAACACTTCCCTGTTTCTGTCCTGTAGGGCAGGCCACAACAGGGCTCTGGAAGCTAGCTGGGTAACTGCAATTTTCCTCTCTAGAACAGGCACTAACCCTTTAATTTCCACACAATATGGCTTATGAATGCCTTGTTTTTTTTTTTTTTTTTTTCCTGAGATAGGGTTTCTGTGTTGCCCTGACTGTCCTGGAACTCTCTCTCTAGAGCAGGCTGTCTTGGAACTCGGAGATCTGCCTGGCTCTGCCTTCCAGGTGCTGGGATTAAAAGCATGTGCAGCTGCAGCCACCACCACCACAACTGGCTGGCTTAAATTCTTAGCACACAAAAGCCAATGTCATATATGATTATGATATCTGAACAATAAAACTAACTGGAAAAGGTTTAGAAACCTGAGTGACCAGGCCACAGATTCTTCTGAAGGAACAGCTAAAACACATATATTTTAGAAAGCTTTAATTAAAACCAACACAAGTAATTACAACACATTTGAGAAGTATCTTTTATTTCTCCTGCAGAAAATTTCATGTTATTGCTGACAAGGGAAAGAGCCAGAATTTCTACTTCCTTGCTTAAAAACCATTTTCCTCCTATCAGAAGGCTTTTCAGTGAAAGAGAGGGACACGAGAGGGACACCCCAGCTTGTTTCTAGGGAAGCAGGATAAATCCTGTTGGGTTCATCTGCTCCAAGGGTGCTATGCTCAGTGGAAGCAGGCAAAGGGTTCTCCAGTGGAAGAAGGGCTATGTTCCTATGTGTGCATTCGCTGCAGAGCAAAGAACATAGTAGTCCTCAAACGGGACTGAAGAGTTGGCGCAAAGCTTTACAGTTTCACCAAAGCTTTAAGAGTTGCAATGATTAATTCTTGTAAACAGATGCAAATTTGTTCCAATGACAATGCAAATGAAACAAGGAACTGACAAATAGTGAGACAATTTGCTTTGCTGCAACGGAGACCTGCTTACTCCAGTGACAGAAATGGCTGCAAGTGGGGCTTGTGTGAAAGGGAATGCAACAGTGGCCAGACACCAGAATATCACCCAAGCAGAAAAGTCTGCCTGATGCAAATGCTGCACTTCCTTGAAACTGTTAGTTACAGCCTTACAGTCCCACATGCAATAGGCTTTGGACAAGATCCCCAGAGCAGCAGGCACAGCAGAATGTTCCATGAGCATGAATGTGTGAGAGACCTTTGCCTTGAACCCTAGGATCTATGTACTTCATAAAGTTTTGAAATCAAAAGCAAGAAGATCAAATCAAAGCAGTGTGAAGAATGCAAGTGGGAACTACCAAGGTATTTTAAATAAATAGCTTATTTATTCAAAATAGTTCTCTTACCTTATTCACAGTTTCAAGTTAAAATGAGAAAGTGATAGTACCTATTTTTTACCAATGTCACACACAGTCAAAGAAAAGTGAGTCCTTTCAGAACATGCACTGAAAGGAGACCTGCACAATTTTCAGTCTTCAAACCTCCCGCGCCAGTTTGGAAAGGGTACACTTTTGTGTCACTTAGAAGGAAGCGTTGATGTGAACTGTTTCTACATGCCATTTGAACCCATGAAATCACTTGAATAAGAGTTCTCTTAACATTTTGTCCAAAATAATCTCATCTTACACCCAAGTGCTTTAACTTTAACATACTTCAAGAATATCTGCAAGTCTAATCACATCACAGGAGGTCTGTTATCACTAAGGAACCATGTACTTCTTGAGGAAATACATTCAGAAAACTTTCGGTTCCATTATAGTTTCTCACCTTCATAGGAAGAAGCCAAACCACCCCACATCGTCTGCCTGCCATGGGAAGCAAATATCCACTGTGGACCTGATTAAATGGCATTTCCTCATATTTAATATGTCTCAGCACCGAGTGGACAGAACAGCTCCAGGATGGGAAGGCACTGACAAGACAGTCCTCCGGCACAACTTCAGGTCAGGGGACAGCACTGCCACTTGATCCGCTGCTACCAGATGCAAGCTGCTCCAGCAGACAGATGATGACTTCAATTCTCTCCAGCAGAGTTGAGTTTCTGTTGGCAGTCGCTCTCAAAAGCTGCGAGTAAATCTGCTTGTTGGTTTGGAGGACTACATCTTCTTCAGCAGCATTACTGCTAAGGTCAAAAACAGACAGGTGAAGAGACTAGAGGGCAAGGCTGGAGACAACAGGCCCTTCCTAGAGCATCCGACTTATCTATAGCTGCTGAGTGAATCAAAGATCCTGCCTTAGCAGCAGGGGCTCTGCAAGAAAGCACAGTGAGCAGCCACAAAAACATGGTCAAAAGAATAAGTCACCAAGAAAGTTGAGTGGGAGTTGGGCTGATCAAGCATGGAGAAGCTATGTGGCCATTCTTCTACTCAACAGTGTCTATCTCAACTGGCTAAGCTCTGCTCACAGACTCTTGACTCAACTTCTTCTTCTTCTTTTTTTTTTTTTTTGGTTTTTTTTTAGACAGGGTTTCTCTGTGTAGCCCTGGCTGTCCTGGAATTCACTCTGTAGACCAGGCTGGCCTCGAACTCAGAAATCCCCCTGCCTCTGCCTCCCAAGTGCTGGGATTAAAGGCGTGCACCACCACTGCCTACCTGGCTTGACTCAACTTCTTACAACTTGTGTAGATTATGCCTTTCTTAAGCTATTGTCACCCACTGAACTCAAGTTACTATTTATAGTCTCCCCGTGTCAAACAGATCGTTTTCCTCTTGAGATAATTAGCTGGTTTACCTTATCTACCATTTTACTCAACTAAATACTTAATGTTGGTATCTGGTTAAGGACCGTCCATGATGTTACTAACTTCTCTGTACCACAGGACAGGGCTCCATGACCCTCAGATGTTTCATAGCTTTTCCTCTCAAATCCTAAACCCTCTGAAATATCAAGAGATCCCACTCTGCTAGAGCAGTGAATGGTAAGGGCGTGATAAGAACAGCTCAACTTTAATCCAAAGTGGAATAAGTCCCCTGCAATTTAAGAAACAAAATGTGTATTTTGTCCAATAGCACCTACACAGTTGTCATACCACGAAGCACACTCAACAGCCTGAAAATAAAAATTTTCAACAAGAAAATTAATCCTAAATTTTTATTTTTATTTTTTTTTTTTGGTTTTTCGAGACAGGGTTTCTCTGTGTAGCTCTGGCTGTCCTGGAACTCACTCTGTAGACCAGGCTAGCTTCGAACTCTCGAACTCAGAAATCCACCTGCCTCTGCCTCCCAAGTGCTGGGATTAAAGGCATGCACCACCACCGCCTGGCTCATTTTAATTTCTGGGAACCTAAGTGAGTTAAGCTTTTCAATTATTAAGCCCACTTATTTTGCCTCAGGCTAAGGGGGAGAAACAGCAGTCAAAATAAAATAAACTACTAATGTTCCTTTCTGTTGGGGTTACATTCTGATTTCCTTTTCTCTTAAAGAACACAACTAGGTCTGCTTTTTTCAACAATAAACTTGTGAGCTGTTTTCACCTGAACATGAATGAAACACAACAGAAAGTCACAGACTTGGTAACCATAGTGATCTGCTTCAAACCTGTAGAGTATCATGTTTCTTGTTTAATAAACCTGAAAGCACAAACTGGCTCATAGGACACTGGGCCTACATGAAAACTTTAGATTAAAAATTTCTTCAACAAGCCAGGTGTGGTTGGTGGCACACACCTTTAATCTCAGCACTTAGGAGACAGAGGCAGGTATATCTCTGAATTTGAGGCCAGCCTGGTCTTCCTGGTGAGTTCCAGAACAGCCAGGGCTACACCAAGAAATCCTGCTTCAAAACAACAACAACATTTCTTCAACACAAATAACCTGGTCAGAAATAAAAATTACATAAGCCATACATAGAATTACTGTGATAACATATCAAAAGACTGAAACTATTACCTGTCAGACAGTCAATTCAAACCACTAATATGTGAAAAATCTTGCATTAGCTCACAGGATCTTATATATACTGCCACCTTGTGGACACCAGTAAATCTTAAAAACCTACCAGCAGTTCAGTTTTGAGGCAGTTGGTACAGTGACAGACAGGTAGATCAATGGAATAAAATTGAAGACCTAGAAATGAATCCACACACCTGTGTTCACTTAATTTTTAACAAAGGAGCTAAAACCTTCCAGTGGAAAAAAGACAGCATTTTCAACAAATGGTGCTGGTTCAACTGTCAGTCAATATGTAGAAGAAATGCAAACTGATCCATTCTTATCTCCCTGTAAAAGCTCAAGTCCAAGTGGATCAAGGATCTCCACATAAACCCAGATACACTGAATCTAATGAAAGAGAAAGTGGGGAAGAATCTTGAATACTTGGGCACAGGAGAAAATTTCCTGAACAGAACACCAATAGCTTATGCTCTAAGATCAAGAATTGACAAATGGGACCTCATAAAATTGCAAAGCTTCTATAAGGCAAAGGACACTGTCAATAGGACAAAACAGCAACCAACAGTTTGGGAAAAGATCTTCACCAATCCTACATCCGATAGAGGGCTAATATCCAATATATACAAAGAACTCAAGAAATTAGACTCCAGACAACCAAATAACCCTATTAAAAAATTGGGTACAGAGCTAAACAAAGAATTCTCAACTGGGGAAACTCGAATGGCCGAGAAGCACCTAAAGAAACGTCA